TTTCAATTGTTTTACTCTTTCATCCCAATTCAGTTGTACAAGAGTATCTTTACAATGTCCAAAGTAAACTCCTAAGGATTTAATAGGCTCTGAGGGCCACTCAATCCCTTCCAACTGTTTCTTTCTATCTTTCCATGGGCCTAGCCACAGTCCTTTTGTTTTTAATCTATTTAGTTTGAGACCTGTTACAATGTGAAAGTGATCAATACATCTTAACACTTCAATCAGTGATTCTTCACTAGATAGGAATAATGTAATATCATCCGCAACTTGACATAATTAATTTCGTTTCATCTATCATAATTCCTTCTACATTTTGTTACATTGTATAATATGAAACAGTATCTCAACAACAAATAAAAAAAGGAGAGCGCTAAGGGGGCAGCCTTGCTTGATACCACGTTTAATTTGAATAGTGGCTGTTCTCCATCCATTGTTTATTATTGATGCAATGCAGTCTGTGTAAATTGTTTTTACCCAGCTGATAAAGGTGGGTCCAAAGTTAACTATCAAGAACTTTAACCATAAAGTTGTGTTCAATGGTATCGAATGCTTTTTCGAAGTCTAAAAAAGGAATCATCCCAGGTTTATTCTTGTCATCGCAGTAATCTATGATATCATTTATTAATCTAACATTCTGACCGATGAAACGGCCTTTAATGTATGCCGTCTGGTCGTTGTTTATTAATTTATCAAGATGGGGTTTGATTCTGTTGGCCAATATAAATGCGAGTATTTTGTAATCAGTATTTAATAAGCTCAAAGGTCTCCAGTTATCTAAAGACTCAGGGTCTCCTTTCTTGAAAAGCAATCTTAGCAAGGCTTTTCTAAACGAACATGGCAGTTTTCCTTCATTGAGACCCATTGTAATAACATCATGGATCAGAGAGCTTATCTGAGGCCAGAATACTTTGTAAAATTCGCCAGGGAGACCATCAGATCCCGGTGATTTTCCATCTTTCATATTTCTAACAGCTGTCTCACACTCAAGTTCTGAGATTGGTTTTTCTACAGTTATCTTTCTCCTCTTCTGTAAGTGTTTAGGTAATGTTAATTTTCTCAAGATATTCATCAATTTCGTTATCTGCAATGTTTTTAGATGTATATAGAGTTTTATAAAAATTCCGACATTCTTTTAATATAGTAGGCTGATCTTGAATCTTTGAATTTTTTACTAGATAAGGCTGTTACACAATTTTGTGCTTGCTTTTTCTTTTCCAAATTTAAGAAATACTTGCTGGGTTTTTCCCCTTCTGTAATGTGGATGGTTTTTGCTCTGATCTGTTCTCCTTTTGCTCTATCTTCATAAATTTTTTCTAACTGTTTCTTTGTAGAGTCGTACTCTGCTAAAAGTTGGGTATCTAGATTTTCATTAATGTCTTTCTCAATTTCTTCCAATTTGGACAATAAGCTTTTTCCAGACTACTTCTTTCTTTTGCTTGTTGTTTTGACCAAGAAATGGAGAACTCCTTTATTTTATCTTGCACATTTCCCAGATTAGATCTGGCTTATTACTTTAAATTCCATTTTGGTATCAATTATGATTTTTCAACTTCTTGTTTATAAGTTGGGTCATTTAGGAGACTTACATTTAATTTCCAAATTCCGTTGCCTTTTGGTATTTTCTTAGTATACAGATCTATGAATACAGCATTATGATCACTTCTTATTCCAGGATAATGTCCAGCTTCAGAGACATTACTTCTACATGTGCTTGATACAAGCCAGTAATCAAGTCTGCTAGGCGACTGCTGGTGTTTTCCTTCTCCAAGAATATTTCTTAAGGCATGGATGTAGAAATCGGAAAATGTCAATTAGATCAAAAGAGCGACAGAAATCTTTCAATGGCTGATTTTTTTCAATGGTAGACCCACCTATTTTATCAAGGCTTGTATCAAATATGTCATTAAAATCTCCACCAACAAGCATTGGATAGAGATTCCAATCTTTCAGCCAATCCTGAATACCATACAGGAAATTACTTCTTTCTCTAGGATCATTGGGGGCATAAATACATAGTAAGGTGTATTTGTCCTTCTCATACATAAAATTTACAATAATTTTTCTTCCTTCATGGTCAATTTTGTGTTCTAGAATATCAAATGGTACTTTTGGGTTAAAAAGGATACTAACACCCTTACTATGATTTGTTCCATAAGAATGGATAGTCTTACCACCCCAGTGTTTGTCAATGCTTTGTTGTATATCACCTGTCAGGTAGGTTTCTTGTAAGAGGCATATATCTGCTTTTTTTTGTTTCAGCCACAGTAATGTTTGATTTCGTTTATTATAGTTTCTTAAACCTCTACAGTTAAAGGATATCAACTTCAATTTATCCATCCACATCTTTCAAGAGAGTTGGATGAACATTATTGAAGAGAGAGTTACCTGACATTTGACATACACAATATACACCTAGGTACAAGTAGGTTTTTTTCGTGACTTACTGCTTCCTTTTGTACCCTGCTTCTGTTTACTATAGGATTGTCTCTGCTCCTTAAGCCAGTTTTCTAGTGTGGGCTGTGTAGAGTCTGATAGCTCACACATTTCTGTAGGCTTGTCGTTTGTGGTGTCATCAGTCTTCTTTTGCTTTTTGTGTTCATCATTGTTCTTGTGGCTGTGACTCTTGCTTCTGCTTCTTGTGTTGTGTTGCACGATGCTTGGTGGAGCTGTTGGTTCTTCGCTGTCAGGAGATGTCCCTCTGTCCTGCTCGTCGCTGACACAGCTATTCTCATCCGACTGCTCATCTTCAGAATCCATGCCAAGGTTGCAAGCAGGATCACCACGCTTATGTCCAGGTTTTTTGCACTGAACACATACAACAGGTTTGTCGCATACACTCTTGTGATGCCCCGTTTCAAGACAGTTGCTGCATGTGAGTCTCTGCGTTTGGCTGGCTTCTTTCTGTTCCCTGTGATAGAAT